GCCTCCTGACTAAAACTCTCCCCTCCTCACAGTAAAGATCAGCAGAGCAGGCTAAACAGGCAAGCATGTTCTCAAGTTCTTGCTGAGCATGTGGACATTCTTTCAGGTAACGAAGGAGATAATTATCAACGTGTAGTTCATACTCTTCATCGCTTGGTGGAAGAGACGAGGCGGGAATGTTCTCAGGAGTCTGTGCCTGAGAAAGACATGCAAATACAAACGGCTATTAACATATAGCAAATTGTCCTTACATTAATAATATAATCGAATTTACAACATTCATTTAATGTGGATACATAAAACTATTAAAAAAAACATGATTAAATTAATGTATGAACTTTACCTCTGCTAGAGCAGAAGTGGGGGTGGTGAGGTGAGAGGTGTCATTTTCCAAACTTTCTCGGACAAAGATCACCGAGCAACGATCTTCAAGCTCCAAAACATGCTCTGATCTCTGAAGTACTCGCTGCTGATCTGTAGACAGATATCGCAAATTACAGACTGAATTCCTTATATAACCTAAGTTTTTTTTTTTTTTGCTTCCTTTGCCATTCTTCATCGTGTTTTTTCTTCTCTTTTCACTGAGTGACAAAAATATAAAACGTCTAATTTAATATCAAATGTGTCACACGCACAATATTTCCCTGACTACACCAGTAATAAAAGCATGCAGATGATTTCAAAGTCTACCTCTGCTTAAGGGCTTGTACAGCTTATTTTACTTCCTCTACTAATTCGTACAAACAGCAAATACAATAAAAACTGCATATGCAGAGATATCTGGGTAGCTCTCTGTCTCTGTCTAAACAGCCCATTTACAGGGGAAAGACTTCAAAAATTAGAGGTTCAGTAATTTCCTGAACTCGCAGCTGCTGACCACCAAATGCTTTGTATAACACTAAGTTTCGCTTTCCAGACAAACTTTCGATTACGTTTCCTTTTTCACTACACCCACTTCCAACAGTACATCACAGTGGAAATATAAGATCTTTTAAACAGCCGAGACCTTTCTGTTACGGCTATTTTAACCGAAAGAGAATAGTAAATTAACTAATGGTCATTTATAAGTCTTCGACAACTGTAGGATATTTCATGCATAACAAAGTTCGTGTGTGTGTGTGTGTGTGTGTGTGTGTGTGTGTGTGTGTGTGTGTGTGTGTGTGTGTGTGTGTGTGTTCAAAGGCATGATAAAATTACCTTTTTTATTTCGGAAAACCACACTGTAGACGTTTTCGTCCACTCTCGTCACCGGGCCGCACTCTCCTCCGCCTGATTTGCGGTGAATACCGAAGTATTTTTGTAATCTCGTCAAATGTCCTTCTTTAAGTCTCTCACACTCAAAGAAAACAGGGTGCTGGGTCTGATCACCCATCATAACTGAACCAAATATAAGCAGCTCAGCACTCACTGATCATTGCATGTCTACCACAGGTTTCTCTCGTCTATGCGTCACATGGGGGTGCATGACTAAGCATCCGTGCATGTAGCTAATGATACATTTAGAACAGTAATAACAACGCCTTTGTGGTAAACTAGTCTGCACATTAAAGACTTTATAAAGGTCCCTGTACGAAAACATTTTAAAACCAGTTTTTTTTTTTTTTATCCAAGTCTGGACTTCTGTAATTACTGTAAATACTGATATTTATTATTATTATCATCACATTGTACCCGTGCAACTTTCCATTTCCTTCTATGAAAAAGTCAATTTCATCTAATTGAAAGCAGAAACTAACTAAGTTAACAATTGCAGTGACACATTAATCTTGTGAAGCTTTTGCTATTGTAAAGTGTAAATTTAAATCTAATTTGATATACAAAGAGGTGTTTACAAAGGTTATAAAGCTAGTTATGTAGCTATTTGGTGGTTAGTGTTTTGATATTTACATGTTTACACGTTTGAATGTTTAGACATGCATGTTCAAACCAGTAATAAGTATGTGTTATATCTACATGGTTGTTTTCCCTGTTTTGATCTGAGTATAAGATTTCCTGGCTTCTGAGAGGCCAGTGAAATATTCATGAGGGCGGCACACAGGAAGTGTGGGTGGTTGTTGCTGTGTGCTGAGAGTAAAGAGGCTGCTAAAAAGTTATCCGTCTTCATCTTGCTGTTCTTAATTATTCAGAGAGATTCCAAACCATCTAGTGAGCCCACGCATTACACTATGATGCAGCTTGAGCCAGGGCTGGACTGGTCTTCGGGCATACCGGGCATTCGAACATTATTCTAACAGTGACTTGTGTCGAAAACACTGCTTTATTAGATTGAGCAAGCTAGTAATGTTTAGCAAGATTAAAAAGTGTTCAGGAAAACTGATTCACAAAACTAGATGTCACAGGTGCAGCCCCCTCTCATCTCTCCAAACCTTTGGCTGCCTTCTCTAGTCTATCTGGAGCTGCTGTCCATCCTAGTGTATTGATATGAACATTTAAAAAAAGTTTATTTGAGTAAGAATTTAGCAAACATAGACAAACATCCATAAACATCGATTAAGAGAAATAGAACCTAAAAGTATTTCCATTTCCTCAATGATTGCATTGACCCATTTAGGGACGTTGTAGGGGAAGAGATGTTCTGACCTCTATGCCTTCCTTTTTCCTCTCTCTGTCTACTTCCCAAGCAGAACAATGGGTCACAGACAGACAAACCTAAGGTTACTGTGACTTGAGAGTCATTTCACACATTGGGACATGTGGGTCACCCCAGTTCTGTTTGTTCCTTTTAAACTTGTAGCACATGCCCCTTCAAAAATCTCTGCACAGCCCTGCACTCAGTGTTTCTTCTTTACTCAACATTTTGGACGTCTCTGTGTTGTCGTTGCTAAGTCTGACCTTACAATGGATAGACTCAAGTTTTACATTGCAAAACGCATTGTTGCAGGCTAAATAGTTTCATGATTCCAAAAAACAACAATAAAAAACAAAACAAAACACTTTTTTCATACTTGTACACGTTTTGTATCAAAATTACAAAAAATTCAATCTCAGGTTAAATTTGATAGAAAGAGCTTACACTGACATCCATCTTGATAAAAGATGAGTGTCACAATAAGCCATGTTTGCATTTATTTCCATTGCTTTCCACTCTGAATGTCTATTTATGTTAAGCTGTAAGTATAAAAGAATTCATTCTACAACTTGTTTTTTTTTTCTAAGTTGTTGAATATAAACATTATTTTGTGCTAATATTGCACTTTTTTTCAAAACCAAAGAGTTTTTGAAATCTGCATAAAATCACATTTTAAATTACTTTTGAATATTACTTTAAATATTTACATTTAAAGTTCTGCTAAAAGTTCAAATACAAAGATTAATAATGTTGAACTGTAAAATATTTTGGGTGCAGTTTATTTTTTAATACAAGTATAATAGTGTCTAGTGTTTTGTTTAGTATGAACTTTTACAACATTCAGCAAAATAAATTAAATTTTTTTTATTGATCATAAACAGACTACATCAGATTCATATCGGTGTCGGCAGATATTCAAATTTATGATATCGGTATCAGACATTAAAAGTGGTATTGTGCCATCCCTAATTTATACACTTTCTGCATTTAATCATAGCTAATAATAGTCTCTGGCTCTTATTAATAGGTGTCTACCTCTCCTAACCCTTAAATGGTCACAGGAGATGGATGCCCTCTCCCTGAGCCGGGTTTTTGTGGAGCTTTTTTCCTGTTAAAAGTGAACTTTTCCTAACCACTGTTGCCATGTGTTTGCTCATATTGATTGTTGGGGTTTCTCTGCATTATTGTGGGGTCTTTACCTTACAAAGCACAATGAGGAGATTGCTGTTGTGATTTGGGACTATATGAATAAAATTGATGTTAATGCTGGTAATGGCATCACATGAATCAAAGCATTTTCTTAGAGTGTCTCTTGTTGATCACAACATGTAAGTGCAGTACAACAACAGCAAAACCATGGCATGGGAAATCTTGTCAGAGATTATAGCTTTTATTGCTTAATAAGACATCTTTGATCTGTCAGTCATATCAGCAATATAGCATACACATATCAGGTAGTTCTATTATTATTAGATACTTTACAATTAAGTTAAAATAGAGATTTGACAATATCAGGGAAAAATCAAACAAAACCTAATTTCTTCAATCTTAAGTGTGTTGTTGTGTTATTGTTTTTAAAGTTTGATGTGTTTCATGGTCTCAAACATTCTTCAACTTTAGTCACACCTGTATGAAAAATTATGATCACAGTGAATCAAGGCACTAGGTAGTTCAAGCAACAACCCCATAAACACAGCTATCACACTCATAGATCTTGTGAGAATCTTTCAGCTCAACGTTTTAGTTGTTTATGGATCACAAACCTATTGAACATAAATACACCAAACAATATGTTCCCACCACCACCAAAGCGGAGTAAGAAAAAACAAAATGTTAGTAGATAAAGTGCTAAAGTGGCTGAAGAACAAAATCTCCTTCATGAAGGAGGGAAACTGCTGACTAAATATATGATAGTTTGCCACAAACCAGATTCCAAATAAACACTAATTTTGTGTAACGCCTTTTACGACTTTCTTTTTTTTCTTTTTTTAAATTTTAACAACGCATTGTGTTCTGCGTCCTGTAGACCACTGCCAATCAATCTCGTGCCGTGTCTCCTGTACAGTACAGAATGAGTTCAGGTAGTCAAATCTACATAAATCTTCGATCACTAGCAGCGTGACTCTGAAGAGCTGTCCTGTGTGTTTGTAAGTTTTCTCCCAACAAACACAAAAATGTCAAACACAACAAGAAAAGTGTATAAAGTGTGTAGTGATGGGTTTTACAGCCTTAAAACATCTATAATAACTGTAAAAAATTAAAGTTGGCTATTATTTTACTCCCGCGATAAACGAGGGACTACTGTACCTGGTTATTATGAAAATCTTACATGAGTAAGAGATTTTCTTTCCTCCTGTACAGCCTTATATGCTTTCTGTACAGCTTCTGAAAGTGACTCTGAATCTTTAGCTGCTTCATTTCCAATTACACCTCCCATTATTCCTCCTGCAGTTGCTGCTCCAACCAAGCCTATTGCTCCAGCAGCTACTAATGCATTCTGTTGTTGTGCAGCTGGCACAAATCTGGAAAGCTTTGTTGTGACATTCACCAATTGTGGGTTCTTCACAGCTTTGATAGCAAATTCAGCCAATGTTACTACACCGAAAAAAGCACCGAGCAAAGCTCCTGTTCCCGTCCCTGCCATTTGGATCAGAAACCTACTGATCACACTAGTTTTAGCCTGCTTTCTGATCTCTTCTGGGGTTTTATCTGGCATTGAGTGTCTAATGTGCTCTACCTGTTCTTGTATTGCTGTCTCCAAATGTTGCAGCATTTTATTTGTGTAGTAACCTCCTTTTCTTTCCACCACCATTTTTTCTATTGTTTTCAGCAACTCCTCCAGCTGGAACTGGTTGCTCCTGTAGTTGTTTGGCTGGTTGTTGTTCCAGTGTTTGTTATCAAAGACGTGGCACCGACCATCACACTTTGACACCAGATCACTCAGATTTTTGTTCTGACTGACAAAATCTTCAATTTTCATATTTTCCTTGAGCTGATCACCGTGAGTGAAAACAACGACAGCATATTTTAGAGCTTCATCTGAGAAATACTGAACTATCTTAGTGATGACAGCCTGCTCGTGCTCTGTGAATTTACCCACTCGAAGCACAATGAGAAAAGCATGAGGCCCAGGAGCACACGCTGTCATACAGCTCATTATCTCAGGCTTCAGATCTTCCTCAGACCTTCCTGTGTCAAAGAAACCAGGGGTGTCGATCAGAGTGATGCTTCTTCCACTGACTGTTTTGGTTTCTGTTTGGCATTTCATTGTCC